CAGTGCTGATTTCAATCACTTTATGACTATTTTTCTGCAATAAACAGATAAATTCATTAAATCAAGGCAAGTTTATTATTCGTTTAGCTTTTGTCGTTATTCTCAAGAGAACGTTCACGGTTGCCAGTGATTGGGATAAGCTAGGGAGTAAATGTGACAATGGCGCACCCCAAGTCAGTGTCAATGTGACATTTCAAAATTCAATGCGCCAAACAGACTTTTTAATGGGACATTTCCTAGTTACAAATTTGCAATTGATTACTTGCTGTTTGAATTTCAGTTGACTTTACTTAATTGAAATTGTCAAATTATTGAATGACGACATTAAAAGATACAAAATTAATTAGTATATTTGTATTCACAAGTGTCAGAAAATAAATAAACACTGCAATTTAATTTCAATTCTTTATTTTTTGTGTCCGATGTTTGACATCTTTAAAATGATTTAAAGCCTGGTTTAGATCTATACTGCTTCCCTCCAATTTTCGTTTTGGTTTTTCCTTCGAGACTACATCATCAGTCTTACCGTCAGATTTATCTCCATTCGTTCTGTCAGCATGTTATACTTCTTCCGAGTCATTTTGTAGCGATTAACTTAAATTTGTTTGTTATGATTGTGAAAATTAAGAAAAGTCTGTCCTTATCGGTACGAGGTATTTTCTTAGGCAGCATGCTGCCAGGGATTTATCTAGCTATTTTGTTTTACTACCGTTTTATATGTAAAGGGGAAAAATGAGAGCCGCAGGCTCGACCTGAGCGCCGGAGGCGCGAGTAATCTAGGGGGATCCGGGGGCATGCCCCCCCGGAAAATTTTTAAATAAATGGAGCAAAATCCTGCATTCTTAGAGCTTCTGAGGGCCATTTGTATACCTTTACAAAGGCCACAAAAACTTCACTTTTGAGACAAAATATTAAATTAGAGAAAAAAAATTTAAACTAGGTCAGTACTTTATTTAATTTTTTCTCTCAATATGTTTCACAAATCAATTCCGTTTTTCATGTTTCACTACTAACATTGTATTTGTTGTTACTCCATTCTTCCGATTCATAGTGATTTAAGCTCCATCTTACTCATCTACACTTTTCTTTTTAACTCTGCAATCGCATACGTATATTTTGACATCATGGACATGGCACATGTTTACCGATTCAATATCAAATAGAAGCTTTACTACTCTCTCTTTTAAAAGCGTTCGAATGACTAGGATGGTGAATTAGGATATGCTGTTAAACTTCAATCGGACAAAAACGGAAAATCTCAGTACGATGTTTTAAATATTCTCCGTTTCATCGGAGAATTTTCTATCTGAAAAAGGGGAATTTTTCAACTTTTTCAAGAGGGGAAAGGTACCGTTTACCGGTAGTAAAAACAGCCTTGATAAATCCCTGGCTGCACTCCTGACACCAGTTTATTTCGTGCCCGTTAGCCAATCAGAAAACACGTAACTGTTTGATTAGATACTGGAGAAACAAAAGTCATACGAACGCTTTAACTGAACGATGTAAAACACTGTTTTTATTTCAAGCGTAAATTGACAGCGATTGTTATGGGAAAGACTACAAGCGCTTGGGGGAAAGCTCAAAGTTTAAAAGTATGCAGTACATTATATGCGCCACGATGGCGCAGCGTTTTTAATTTTAATGTGACATTTTAAAATTTAATGCGACTATGGCGCAGGGCGCGTGCTTATCCCAATCACTGGGTTGCTTTAGCATTGGTGTATGAAGCGATGCATTGTGGGTCCAAATTACTGCGGAAAAAAATTCTATGGAATGAATGTGCAGTAGTCCAAATTTTCTCTTTGACCAGGCATTGTCCTAAGAGCTCGCAGTTACAAGCGTCACTTCGCTTATGGTTAAATAATGATAATTATATTCACGCATATTGAAAACAGGAATGCCTAGTCTAATCACAGGAGTCGGCAATTTTATCAATAAATAGTAAATAAATGGTAAACAGGCATAAATCCTATCAGTGAGCTTCGCGAGCGTAGCGAGCTCGCTAAGCTCACTGATAGGATTTATGCCTGTTTACCATTTATTTACTATTTATTGATAAAATTGCCGACTCCTGTGGTCTAATCCAGTTAACAGGTGACAAACTCCAAAAAAGGCGTGACTCCAAAAAAGGTTTTTTTTTAACTCCATCATGCTTTGAGCCAAAATGATGTTTGTTGTAAACAAACAATAGATTGTCGCTCGCCTTCTCCAAATGTATGTGACAGCTAAATTGAAGTATTTAGCTGCTTATGTTAAATTTAGAGTATGAGTTTCCTACCGTATAGGAAATACAGGGCGGGACTTAAGGCGAGAGCGATAGCTGAAGCCGGGCCCCGCACTGTATCTCCGATACAATAGGAAAAGAGTAATCTTAATAACTTTTGACGTGACTTTTCTTATGACCTTAATAATTTACATATGTTTTTGGGTACATACCTCTCAACCAATCAGATGATTTTGAAGAAAGTTGATTTAGTATCCTATTTTAAAGCAATTGCGACTGAAATGCCGAGTGAGGTGGACATGCAGGTATCATTATACATATTGTAGTTATGAGATGCATTATACATAAATTAATGATTTTCCCCAAAATTTTATTATACCCCCCGCTTGAAAAGTGGGGGTATATAGTAATCGGGATTTCCGTCCGTCCGTCCGTCCGTCTGTCTGTACGTCCGTCCGTCTGTCCGTCCGTCTGTTACGCTTTATCTCTTATCCGCAACTCCTCTTATACTACTGAGTGAAATTTAATGAAACTTTCACAGAATCTTTATTATATATTGCCATTGTGCACCTCCTATTTTACTTTTTTATTCCACACGTATTTTAGGTTTCCCATAGCAAAAACATGAACATTGCCATTATATCTTTACCTATGACGTCATATGTATAGAAGCTTCTGGATAACATTTAAGGGACGAGTTATTCCTCTTTACACATTACCGTAAACAATATATAGCAACACATGGACATTATGGGAGGCGGGGGGTATCATTTAGTGAGCTCATTGCTCACAGTACCTCTAGTTTATATTTAATTGCATAGGTTTTTTCCTGTCTATTTAGCTCTTGATGACATTTTTTTTTAATTATTTATGCTACGAATTTAGTGCTGCATTTTGATACTTTAGAATCATGTGGGAATGGTATTTGAAGAAAAAATGTTTTGGGGAGGTTGTATTCGAAGAGAAATTCAAGCAATGTCTGACTCATCACCTTCATGTTTGAAACAAAATGTAAACTACTCTAGTAATTGAAGGCGAATCCAGGATTTTTTTCCTTGTGGCTTTCATAAATTAATACTTGTAATGTTTGCTTAACTTGTGTGCACTTTTAATTTATCAACACGTAATGATCATGCACATAGTGTCAGGCCTGATTATGATTCCCAATTTTCCAGTTTGGGCATTTTATGCAAAAAAAAAAAACATTTGTGCACTGCCCCCATTCCCTCCTTTTTAAATATTTTAAATCTGCTACTTGTAACTTTACGTTGTAAATTTCTGTTCTCAATTCATCTCAAATTTGAATAAATACTAAAAGCGCCATCGTGTAATTTGAATGACTCCTATCAGGCTCTATGTCTATATCATTTAAGATAAGGATTCAGTTTTCCGTCATCACTAAAAATAAATTGTTTTGTATCATTGATATTTTGCAGATAAAGTATAGTTTCTGCTCATTTGCATAAGAAATGCCCACAAAAAGTTTTATTTAATCACAGTTGAATGGTTGACTTAAAAAAAATATCTCTGGGTCATGTCACAGTATGACTTTCTTTTTATTTTGTTGAATGAATAATTGCACTTGCAAAATTATTTGGTAAATATTCTAGGGCTTGGACAATTAAGGGCTCAGTAGATTCTGTTCAACTTTGGTTCAGAATGATATGGTTCTTTTTTTTTCAGTTCAGTTTGATTTAACCCAAAACAGTCTAAATATTTCTCATATAAATGTAAAGAAAATAAAGGATCTCCCATGATTTGTAGTTGAATATGATTTTTATCCAACAAGTTGTGTGTTTTTTCCCGGAGCCTTGGCAAGGGGATAAAAACACACCAGTTGTATAAAAATCCAACCTCAAAAGTCAAATGATAATATCTCTGTAAAACAAATTTATTCATTAAGGAAGGGAAATGCGATTTTGTAGATATATCTTAAAGTACACAAGGTTTCCTATGTCACATACTTAAAATAAAATGTATCACTGTTCTTACTGGGAACTATTGTAAAATACTTATAATTGCATCTTGTGCATCGAATTACACTGCATGGGCTTTTAAATTTTGTACTGAAGCCAAGAATACTTAGTCATTATCTGGAATACTAAGTGTATTGATCTCAATATGGTTTTAAGCATATTTCTCACACTGCAGTTTGTTTATGTATGTATGTATAAGTAGTTATAGATGTCTTAGTGTACACTGTCCATGCTTTAGAATTATGATGCTATATGTATTGTAAAATTTTGCTGTACTAAGAAGAAAGTAAGTGTTTGAAGTCAGTTTTTAGTTCTGTGAATGCATGAGTAAATGGTAGGATCTGAATTCTTTTAGTGAGTCAAATAAACAAGAAAGTATCTGTGCGTGATCAATATATATTTAAATCAAATTATAGTCTTAGATGGAATTATAAGGGTCATTCCAATTTCCATGTGTTTACGATGTGGAAAAAAATAATATTTTTGCAGAAATGTGAAAGCTATTATGTGTAGAGACAGCAATGACTGACCGATACCAGATAATTTTCATTCAAAAAGCAGTTATCATGTGAGCTAAAAGACTGTTGAATTTGTTTAAAAGATTAAAATTACCCAATTAATTATTTTTTATACAAATAAAAAGGAAGGTTTGTAATTATCATATACCACCTAACTTTAATTGGTTGAAGTTTGCCAAAGTTTGAAGTACATGTACATATACTTGTAGTGTCTTGAACAAGAACCATAAATTCTGATATGGAGGAGTGGAGATGAGTTAATATATCACTTTATTTTTAGGTAGTGTAAACAATGGCAGTCCTGGGTCTTTCTCTCCTGTCCTCCTGGTGGTCATGGATCAGTTTTGGATTCATGGCTGTCCTGTTTTATGTCATCTTCAGAGTGACTTTGGCCTATATGGACTATCGTACTTGGGCCCACTTCTACAATGATCTCCCTGGGGATCCCTACCCCAGCAGACTCCTAGGGCACCTGCTGATGGTAAGATCAGTCATAACATTAAATAGTCTTTAGTTATTAGGAAGAAGATTTAATGCCAGGCATTATGGACGTTCCTCTTGTTCTGTAGTATCCAGGGCCTAATCATTTAGATCAGTTAAATGAAGATTTAATGGCAGGCTTAATGGTTGTACTTGATGTTCTCTAGTATCCCGGGCCTAATGAGGAGGGACTGAAATTCCAGATGGAGCGCTGTGACAGGTACCCCATGTTTCACTTACTGTGGATTAGCTTCAGACCAGTGTTAATTCTTCATCATCCAGAAACAGTTAAAGTTCTTCTAAAATCTACAGGTACTTGTATAGCATTTCTGTAGATGTAAGTGATGTTCTAATAAGAAATTGAGGGGATTATCTCCAATTAACCAAAGTGTATTCTTACCTCAACCTTTTTTGTACATAGAGCCAAAACCTCGCCAGCTAGGTACAGTATATATCTTGGGTCTGGATTGGCTGGGAGAGGGTTTACTTATAGCTAATGGACAGAAGTGGGCGCGGAATCGCAGGCTCCTGACCCCAGCATTCCATTTTGATATTCTACAATCTTACATAGGCCTCAAAAACAAAGCTGCTTCCGTTCTGGTGGTAAATATGTTCATGTCCTAAGCTACTGAATGAATTTAGGGTGTTTGTTGAATATTAGAGATATATCGATGCAGTATCTGTTTACCAAATATCAGAACATTTCTAACATATATAAATCAGTTTAATAAAGCATGGAGGTTAATTGTTAGCATTTAATCTGTGTATATATGCATATTGTTCCATATTGTGTTGAATTTTAACTTAGTATGGGAGTTGGTGTTTATGACAATTTCAGGACAAGATAGATAAGCAGGTGGAAGCAGGGAAGAGTTTTGAGTTGTTTTCTTTCATTGGCCTGGCCTCTCTAGATATAATACTCCAGTGTGCATTTTCCTTTGAGAGTAACTGTCAACAGTTAGGGTAATATGCATTTTCCTTCAAGAGTACATTTTTTGTCAACATGGGTAATGTGCATATTCCTTAAAAGAAATAACTGTCAACAATAGATCAAGCAGCCTTCACTGTTTTTGCCAAATATAATTTAAAAATAAATAAATAAATGTTTGGTTATCGAAATAATTTGAGCTGATTCTTGCATGTTTACTACATAAAATAGACATTTGATTCTAATACAATAAAATCATCAATAATTTATTGAGTGTTCTCTCTGCTGGGTTTCAGGGACACACATCCATATGTCCACGCTGTTAACGTGCTGTCTGATATCTGGGTGGCTAGGTCTTTGTAAGTTATCTACATACAGTAAAACAAGCTACATACAGTAAAACATGTTTATAACCAACACCACTTAATTAATGAATTGATGCTTACAGCAAAGTAATTTTTATTACCTGTAACTTTAAAGTATATTCATTTGTTGAATTAACAAATATAATAAAATACTCTTCCAACAAAGCAAAATTGTCCATCTTTTGCATTATGTTTTAAGTGTGTTTTACAGTACAGAAAGTTTATGCATCATTTGTTATTGCTCTAATTTTGATATACATATATTTTTCATATATAGATATAATCCAATTCTGACTAATCAAACACAATTATGCAAATATCAACATTTAGTATTATTTTTGCATGTAATATATAGATGCATGTGTATAGAAAATTATTAATTATTATATTTAACATGATCTTATCTTGTGCAATATGCTTGAGGTTTGATTTGTATTAACTATATATTTTCCAATTAAAATACAGAAGAAGCTGATGTGAAGAATTTTTTATCTATTACAGAAAGCCTTGGTTTTACTCTGACTTTTTGTTCAGTTTGTCACCCAGTGGACGAGAGTTCAGAAAGAACTGTGATTATGTGCATAAAGTGGCAGAGAATATTATTAAAAAGAGAAGAAAAAGTTTAGTGAGTTGTCCATGCCATCTCTTTTATGTAATGGGGGAACCAATTTATGCATGCATTATTAGGAAAGGAATTATTTCTAGTGTATAAAAGAAAAGACATAATTATTTTTTCTAGACAAATTTTGCTTTCATTATACAAAACCATATGCACATGAAAGATGCACTACTCTCGTTATTGATAATGTTTTGAATTATGAATGGATTTGTAGAAAGAAGATGGACCAAATCCAAAAACTCGTCACCTAGACTTTCTGGACATTTTATTGACAGCAAGAGATGAAAATGACAAAGGACTGACCTCACTAGAAATCAGGAATGAGGTGGATACATTCCTGTTTGAAGGTACAAATTATAAACAATGTTCCATTTAATTAAAGTGAAATTGTTATGTTTATAATTACAGTGAAAACTGACCAATCAGACACCTGAATAATCTGACACATTGTGAATTCCTACGTTAAATATCTTTCCCATTTTACCATTTTTAACACTGTGCAAACTGACACTCTGTCAATTCTGACACAAAATGTGTCAGATTAGACAGGTTTCACTGTATTATATAAATGGTGCCTGTTTTGGAGGGTAACAGTTGAAATTGACACCCCAAGGAAAAGGTTTTCCGCGGGGTGGCAATTTCAACTGTTACCCTCCAAAACAGGCACCATTTATTTTATTATACTGAATGTCTTCTTAAATTAAGTCAGCAAAAAAAAATCGTCGATCATCTTTACGTTCACGTTTAGAAAGCTTTCAAACTCCTCGCTACTTCTAAAAAGATTTACTGACCTTTTTATTGTTTGTTTGATACTCTAAGAGTCTTTTATCATATAAAGTTTCGTTATTTTTGCACTCGCAAGCATGTTTCGTCTGTCCTTTTTTGTTTTCAAGTAAACTACATCGGACACAAGCTTTTATTGACATCAAGTTTATTCCAGTTCTTTCAAACGTGCAACTGATGTTTTGAGAATTCTACCGTGAACCATATGTACATAATATCCCCGCATGTGGCATTACCATTGTGTTACCCGTTGTCACATGCGTTGCTAAGGCTGAGGGTAATAGAACAGATTGTTAACTGCGTCTAAACCAATCAGATTTTAGTATTTAACATGAAAGTATAATAATATCAATTGTAAGTTTAATTGATGAATTTCTACTTTTTCTACTTATTAAAAATACATGGATTTATCATCAAGTCAGATTTATACTTATTTTGATACATGTAACAGCATATGTATTGAAGGAGCACTATCCTTTTACATTTTTATCACTCTCATGGGGTGGAGATACCTCAAGGTTGTAGTAGGAGTTGCTTCCCTTTATACTGCAAATATTTTCTACAGGTTACATATTGATATTTGATTATCAAAGGTTAAAAAAAAATAATCTGGGAAATCCTTTTTTCACTTGTGCAATTCATTGCACAATTAAACTATCCATCTTAATGCTTTAAGTACATTTCAAGGAGATGTCACAGCAGTACTTTAAATATTATTTTCAATATTACATTTCCTGGAGAACCAATTAAGTAGTCACTTTGTTTGCTTAATGCTACCAACTTCTTGTTTTTTTTAGGCCATGATACAACTACGAGTGGCATGTGCTGGACTCTGTATTTACTGGCCAAACATCCTGAGCACCAGGATCTCTGTCAGAGAGAGACAGATGATCTTCTGAAGGGTCGAGACAACAAGGATTTAGAATGGTGAGGGCACCTGCCTCTGTGTTGTCTTACTGAATATCTCAGTTCCTTAGAATCTGTGTTAATTGTTAAAATCATATTGAAATATCGGTGTCTTTGGAGGATGAATATCCACTGCAATTGTAATGTTTATAGAAATGATTCTCAACCCCCTTGCCATATTTTGACATTTAAATAACAATATTGAAAGTATTTAATTTCAATCGAATATAGATTTAGATGAAAAAGAATATAGAAAACTTAAGATTTTTTGGTTCAATTGATATATGCTGTGATATGTTTCCTAATTTTAGGGCCGACCTATCTAAGCTTAGTTACCTGACTCAGTGTATAAAAGAGAGCATGCGGCTCTACCCCCCAGTGACCTTTATACAGCGGGTCACAACTAAGGAGACAGTGTTAGATGGCCATCCCATTCCAGAAGGCACCACCATGGGAATTCAGATTTATAACCTCCATCATAACAAGGCAGTCTGGGAAGACCCGTACGAGTTCCGCCCCAATAGGTTCTCCCCCGACAATGAAAAGAATGACAGCTTTGCTTTTGTACCTTTCTCAGCAGGTCCCAGGTAAGACCATGAAAATGCAGATCATTCAGTCTCTATAGATAAAACATTTGATGATGACATATATACTTGAACTGTCTTGTCTATTGATCAATCACAAAATCAAGATTTTTTTTTAAAAATTGTCAACTGTATATAGGCTTATTTATACCTTCTTTTTTCCCTTTCTCTTTACAAACAATTCTGCACTTTTTTTAAACAGCTCTGATTGGGAAATAAATTTGATCTTTATACCCCCCGCAAACGAAGTTTAGGGGGGGTATATTGGAATCACCATGTCCGTCTGTCCGTCTGTCCGTCTGTCTGTCTGTCTGTCTGTTTGTCTGTAGACGAGATTTTGTCCGGACCATTACTCAGAAACTATTGGAAGGATTTGTCTGAAAATTTGTACACATATTATTCACCATATGAAGTTGTGCACCTGATATTTTCATCTTGATTCGATTATTATTTTGAATTTTACAGGTGTTTTTTCATTTTTAGGTCACCTGAGTAAACTCAGGTGACCTATTGCTATCCGTTTTCGTCCGTCGTCGTGCGTCGTTCGTCGTGCGTCGTTCATCGTGCGTTAACATTTGAACATTTTCAGCTTCTTCTCTGCAACCACTGAACCAATTTCAACCAAATTTGGCACAAAGCATCTATGGGTGAAGGGGAACAAAAATTGTGAATTTCATGATCCCTGCCCCCCTGGGGCCTGAGGGGTGGGGCCAAAACCACTAAAATTAATGCAGTCTTTAAAAATCTTCTTCTTTACTCCTTGACATCAAGCAGTCAAACTGTTTGCATGATTGTAATCAGCAATGAGTCCTCTACCAAAATTGTGAAATTCATCGCCCTGGGGTCAGGGGTTCTAGTGCTAGGGTGGGGCTAAATAAGTAGGTAGTGAAAATGCATTATTTCTTCGAAAATCTTCTTCTCTGCTCCTGGGTATTAAATAAACCAACTAAGTACATAGTTATGATGAGCAAGAGTGCCTCTACCAAAATTGTGAATTTTATGGCCCCAGGGTAAGGGGTTCTGGTGTTAGGGCGGGGCTCTATTGATTATGTAGTGAAAATACATGAATTCTTTGATAATCTTCTTCTCTGCTCCTGGGTATTAAATAAACTAACTAAGTACATAGTTATGATGAGCAAGAGTGCCTCTACCAAAATTGTGAATTTTATGGCCCCAGGGGCAGGGGTTCTTGTTTTAGGGTGGGGCTCTAATGATTATACAGTGAAATGCATGAATTCTTTGAACATCTTATCCTTTGCTCCTTGTTAATATACTAATGATCTAATTACATATTTAAGGCTAGGATTTATTTTATTTTCAGTTTTACAAACCCTCAATTCAAGGTTTTGAATTTTCAGAAAAAATAAAACAATTTTTTTTCTTTCCGATGTCAATTTTGAGTCGGGATCGAGATTTCAAATTTACGAACTCGCACTTCCGATTTTAAGATGAAACTGCGGGTAAGTAAAGATAGCTTGGTTTAGGGTAAAATTCATCAATACGAGTGCCATTCACAACGTTTCACCCGTTCAAAGGACAAATAAAATGCTGACGACTTTGTTGCACAATGACATGCTGGTGAGATAATTATGTATTCGTTTCAAAAGTATCTGTCGGTAAAGTATTTTCCTCCCCAAGGTTTTAAACTGCCCGTGGTAGCTATTGCATATTGCCAGTGACATTGTTTAGGTCTCTGTTATAGCTTACAGTCAAAGCATCATGTGTCCAGTGGTAAGGAGCCTATTAGAATAGCAAAATGTACAAATGTTAATAATTGATTTATCCAAAAATTTTTTTATTTCCTTCTCCTTCGGGGCTTTTTTATTCTCATGTTCATAACTAAACCTACACATAAAAAAAAAATGCTGGCCTTATAATGAAGAAAGGGGCCTCTTTCAAAATAGGTAATTTCAGGGCCCCTGGGTCAGGGGTACCAGGGGGGTACTTTGACTAAAAATAAATTAATGCTTTGAAATCTGCCCTTTGATAAGCAATGGTGCCTCTTTCAAAATTTGTGAATTTCATGGCTTTTGGATTAAAACACGAAGCAAATACAATCGCTGGAAACTTGTTACATGATACTCAGGTGACCTATAAGGCCCGTGGGCCTCTTGTTATTTTGTGGTTTTGTCCGGACCGTTTCTCAGAAACTATTGCAAGGATTAATCTGAAAATTTGTACACTTATTATTCACCAGATGAAGGTGTGCACCTGGAATTTTCAACTCTTTTTGTTAATTTTTTTGCATTTTACAGGTTTTATTTTTTATTTTAATTGACTTCTTTATTTTGGGCTCATGTATAGGGTTTGAGATATAGAATCTAGAATATCTGTTCAAAAATACTACAGCTTAAAACTACTCATAAAAACTTAAAAAAAAGAAACATCATCAAGTGTTAAAAACAGTTTTTACATTGCACAGAAGATAATGTAATTTCATTTGTCTCTTGGGAATAATGACTGGACATGCATCCAGTTAAAGATAAATTAATGAGTTTGGTGTTGGAAGTTGTTAAGGCATATCTCTTATCAAGCGTGTGTGTTATCTAATCTCCAGGGAATAAGGCACAAGAATTAAAGATCTCTCTTCTCTTATTCTGTAAATTGTAATTTATTGTCTGTCAAAGCACTTCATTACTGGATGACCAGCTCTTTATTTTCAAAATGCATTTCAAATTGATATATCAAGATTAATTAAATTTGATTTTGTATAATGTTTTTTTTTAACAGTCAGTTTGCAGAGTGACATAACACATAATTGCAATATATTTTTAGGTCACCTGAGTAAACTCAGGTGACCTATTGCTATCCGTTTTTGTCCGTCGTCGTCCGTCGTGCGTCGTGCGTTAACATTTAAACATTTTCAGCTTCTTCTCTGAAACCACTGAACCAATTTCAACCAAATTTGGCATATAGCATCTATGGGTGAAGGGGAACAAAAATTGTGAATTTCGTGGTCCCCGCCCCCCTGGGGCCTGGGGGGTGGGGCAAAAACCACTAAAAATAGTGCAATCTTTAAAAATCTTCTTCTTTACTCCCGGACATCAAGCAGTCAAACTGTTGGTATGATTGTAATCAGCATTGATTCCTCTACCAAAATTGTGAAATTCATGGCCCCAGGGTCAGGGGTTCTGGTGTTAGGGCGGGGCTCTATTGATTATATAGTGAAAATGCAGTAAGTCTTTAAAAATCTTCTTCTCTGCTCCTGGGTATTAAATAAACAAATTAAGTTCATAGTTATGATGAGCAAGAGTGGCTCTACCAAATTTGTGAATTTTATGGCCCCAGGGTCAGGGGTTCTGGTGTTAGGGCGGGGCTCTATTGATTATATAGTGAAAATGCATTATTTCTTTGAAAATATTCTCTGTTCCTGAGTATTAAATAAACTAATTAAGCACATAGTTATGATGAGCAAGAGTGTCTCTTCATAAATTGTGAATTTTATGGCCCCAGGGTCAGGGGTTCTGGTGTTAGGGCGGGGCTCTATTGATTATATAGTGAAAATGCAGTAAGTCTTTAAAAATCTTCTTCTCTGCTCCTGGGTATTAAATAAACAAATTAAGTTCATAGTTATGATGAGCAAGAGTGGCTCTACCAAATTTGTGAATTTTATGGCCCCAGGGTCAGGGGTTCTGGTGTTAGGGTGGAGCTCTATTGATTATATAGTGAAAATGCATTATTTCTTTGAAAATATTCTCTGTTCCTGAGTATTAAATAAACTAATTAAGCACATAGTTATGATGAGCAAGAGTGTCTCTTCATAAATTGTGAATTTTATGGCCCCAGGGTCAGGGGTTCTGGTGTTAGGGCGGGGCTCTATATTGATTATATAATGAAAATGCATTAAATCTTTGAAAATCTTCTTCTCTGCTCTTAGGTATTAAATACACTCAGGTGACCTATAAGGCCCGTGGGCCTCTTGTTTTAATGCAGAAATAAAAAAATAAAATGAAAAAATAAAAAAAAAATGTCACAGTGGAATTACAATGTATTAGTATTGATGTTTCATTTGGTTGCACCTTTGTTTCATTCATTAAGAAACATGATGAGCAATTATATTTCACTGCAAATTTTTGTAAGTGAATTGTGAACACCTCTAGATCCATAAAGTATTTTTGAATTGGCACCTTCTCTGAAAAACCCAGCGGGGGGTATTTGTCCCTATTGGACAGTTCTAGTTTTAAATTCACTTTGTTTAAAATTTAGATATAAAAATTATAAATCACATGTTTTTATACTACATTTACTTTTCTCTTCTTTTTTCAGAAATTGTATTGGCCAACACTTTGCAATGAATGAAATGAAAATCATTCTTGTTCATATTTTACAAAGGTTTGTAACATGAAAACTGATTGGTCAGAAATCAGATTATTCATGGATTTTTTTTTATTCGATTCATTAAATAATTTCCATATTTTTTATTATAGATTTTGATCGTATTCTTTTCTGAAAAGTAAAATATTATCATCCACAGTTTAATTTTTCAACAGATATGAGTTGACATTGGATCCAGCTCATGAAGTTAATATTAAGATCGGGGTTGTATTACGAACAAAGAATGGAATAAAAGTCCAAGCAAGGAGAAGGGATGTATGAAAAATCGGAAGCTTGCATGTATCTTTGTAAGTTTTTCGGGGGTTATGTTTTGAAATTGAAATTTGGATTTCAGTTTCATTCAGAATAGAAAAAAAATGTAATATACGACACTGATTATTTTTATTATTCACAGCAGGGAGCAGTTATACATGGAGTGTTACTTCACCAAACAAGACTTTCAGGCTTTATTACGACAGATTTGTTATCTATTCCTCACTGGTAAATTCATGTATTATTGTTATTACATGGGTTTAAATTCACTGAATAGTTATTTATATCTATTTTATTTGACCCAGTTATCTTTAAATTTGAGCTAGTTTTTATTATGACTTCAGTGTATACTGTTCTTATATGTATGATCTTTCCATGTTTGTTAAAATTTTATGACTGTTGAGTCAGTAATATTGAACTACATTTAAACTTCAGTTAATTTAATTAATTTATTTGACCTAACAATAAGGTACATCTATTGACAATTCCTTGCCATATCATATCAGTTCCATTCCACTGTTAATGAACCTCCAGTTATATAGCTAGTCTAGATTTTATTCATTCCATTATTTACTTAAACAAATACGCAGTGCTGTTATTTATTCATTTTTGTTTTGTATTTTTTAAGCAATATTCCATGAATGATTTTTTCCTGAAATATTTATTATGAGATTTACAACAATTTTAGTTTTGAATGTAATTTTTTACATTACTCAACAATTTATCCATTGATGAGAATTTTATGTACATAAACATAATTATATAGGTTCTGAGTTCATTTTGTGAGAGATTTACAATAAGGAAACTGAGAATTTACAATAAGTAAAGAAATCTAATACCTTTATTTAGGAGCTTCTGTCTTGGATTTTCAAAAAATGTGCTGAAGTTCAAAAAAAAAATGTGCTAAAGTTAAAAAAAAAAGCTGACACAATTTTAACCAATAGGCAACTTACCCATAGGGAGATTTGAAAAGTAGAACAATTAGAATAATTCATTATTACAAATTCTAATCATTTATACCTGTAGAAATATATTTTGAAAGGTGCTTTGTCTATGTAAGAATAAATTCTTCGCTGTGTGTGAGGATATTTTTTTTTGAGGGCATGTTCTAGTCAAGTAAAATTAGTTGTTTTCTCCAAATCCTGTCATTTTTAAATAACCATTTTTTTTTTCAAATTATGGATCCTTATTAGATTTGGCTAAAATTTTACATAATGAACATATGTGCATAAAAAAAAAAACTTCCTAAGAAGCATATGCATTTTTTTTTTGGTATTTTTTTACGACTTTGAACTTTATACTGATACTGAGGCAATATCTTGTTATTCAGAGACATCTTAGAGCTAAGTTTTGTCCAGTATATGAAGGCACAATTTTCATTGGAATTTAAAGGATAAAAAAAACTTTCAAGAACAGAAGGGCTGAAGTTACTAGGGGAACATTGTAAAGTTTTTGCCATGGTTACAAAAAAGTGGAGTAATATGAATTTTTTTAACTGTTCAAAATTGGTTTGTAGCATGTCTTTTTTGTCAAATACTGTATCTTTTAAGTTTCATCTTGACATACTCTAGAAGTTAATTTTAGTTTTACCATGCATAATTAACATTCACTCTATTGTGCAACATTCACTCTTTTGTGCCAAATTATTTATATTGATATGTGATATAAAGGAATAAAGAGTGCTCAATCAGTATATACTCTTAGGTAAATGTTTTGATGCATATATATACATGTAGAATACGTTTTTATTGTACTCGGAAACGATTTAATAATTTTAAAATGTGATGGTGCGGATGTTTCATTTGGTAATATTTCGAAAAAAGGAGTGACAACTTTAAAGCATTGCCATATAATCGCATAGAGTGGGAGGCCACCAAGATGAAAAAAAACATGAAAGAGTGCCAAACATTCGTTTTGGATGAGGTATTGGAGATGCTTGACCGATGAAGAGAGTAGATAAATACATTAAAGCAAAACAATAAAAAATAATTTTAACATAAAACAATGAAATACAAAACAACATGGACTTTAAATCAACAGCCCCCTTCAAAAAGAACAAGCAAAACTAACAAACATCTAAATAGTCCATAGATGGTGACAATGAAAGAACGCAGATCGCTTTTGTTTATTGATCCTTTGCACTTGGTTATTCAATATCATGAAATAAATAATACAACAGAGTCTGACATATCTTGTATCATATTTGAAATTTTTACTTGAAATAGACATTAAGGGTGAAAAAAAAGCTTTCTGATAAAGTGATGACTTTAACTTTCCTACAGTAAACTTTTCTTTCTCCTGCAGTTATATATACCTGCTTATTTATAAGTTGATTCGATACGCAAGATCATGCTTTACTTACATGTGTAAACAATATCTAAACCTAGATTACTTATTGACAAGTTTATGAACAAGAATATCAACAGTCTCGTTTAAAGTCATTATTTCGTAATTTCTTTGGTCGATAAAATGACCTTGTTAGCGAGTCAAATGCTGACGGGCGTTTTTCAAACTAGTGTCCAGTATACAAAAATATGAATTTTTCAATTAAAATTTGTATAAATATCAATTTCAATTGAAAAAAAAAATCAAATTTTTGTAAAGGACACTAGTTTAGATAACAAAAAATTTTACACACTGGATTTCGAAGAAGTTTTGTGTACTTTACTGATCATGACAAGGAGCACACCGCGAGTGTGACAGGTGAAATTCCTTAAAAACGCTACTCCTTCTACAGTTTTGGTCTGATTTCAATATAACTTGCTCACTCCTCCGTTTTTAATTTCAGCGGTGTTGCCTGAATTTTCCGACCTCGTGTATTTAGCACACAAGTAGACTATAAGATACATAGAATGGTGCATCGGTTTTTAATTTTGATGAACGGTGTTGCCATGGTTACTTAAAATAGAATTTTCTGTGAAATTCTTTAAAAACGCTACTCCTTCTACAGTTTTGGTCTGATTTCAATGTAACTAGGCACACAATTAGACTACACTAAGATAAATGAAATAGTGCAATGGTTTTTGATAAGTACAAACCAGTAGAGCTACAGTCTCGACAGAGACTTCTGGTTTCAATTAAAATTTTATATATATATAAATTTTAATTGAAAAAAAATCAAATTTTTGTAAAGGACACTTGTATAAATAAACATTTTTTTACACGCTGAATTTCGAAGAAGTTTTGTGTTCTTTAATGATCATGACAAGGAGCACACCGCGAGTGTGACAGGTGAGCAGGGGATGCTCACTCCTCCGTCATACCTGATCTGACCTCATGTTTAGCAGTTTCCTGATTACCTTTGTTATCTTTAAAAAAATCATTCGAGTGATTAGTTATAAATTCAAGGAATCATAGGATAAGACTATACATATAATTATATTATCTGAATTATCACTAGCTGGTGCGCTAGCCTTTAAGTTATAGAATGCCGAAGAACTCGGTCTTTATATTTTTATGATTTAAAATGATTCATATTCTGAAGGCCAATGTATTTGACCCCGTAGGTCATGAGTTCGAATCTCGTCCGCGACTGACCTAAGTCGATAAAAAATAGAGTAGCAACTGTTCCTTCGCCATGCGCTCGGCACTTGAAGTGAAAGTTGCGGGTCCTTCGAATGAGACCTTAAAAACCGAGGTCCCGTGCCACGGTAGTAAATGTCAAAACTTGAAGCGTAGGAACGCCCCAAATATTAAGATCCGCCCCAAATATTAATCTGACTAATCAAGCAATGCTCAATGGACCAAATATTAATCTGACTAATCCGAGTAAATGTCAAAAATTTGAAGCCCCTCTGACTAATCAAGCAATCCGCCCCAAATATTAATGACTAATCGTCAAATATTAATCTGACTAATGAGTGAAACATTCTCAAATATTAATCTGACTAATCAAGCAATCCACCCCAAATATTAATCTGACTAATCAATCCACCCCAATCCACCCCAAATATTAATCTGACTAATCAAGCAATCCACCCCAAATATTAATCTGACTAATCAAGCAATCCACCCCAAATATTAATCTGACTAATCAAGCAATCCGCCCCAAATATTAATCTGACTAATCAAGCAATCCGCCCCAAATATTAATCTGACTATTAATCTGACTAATCAAGCAATCCACCCCAAATATTAATCTGACTAATCAAGCAATCCACCCCAAATATTAATCTGACTAATCAAGCAATCCACCCCAAATATTAATCTGACTAATCAAGCAATCCACCCCAAATTTTAATCTGACTAATCAAGCAATCCACCCCAAATTTTAATCTGACTAATCAAGCAATCCACCCCAAATTTTAATCTGACTAATCAAGCAATCCACCCCAAATTTTAATCTGACTAATCAAGCAATCCACCCCAAATATTAATCTGACTAATCAAGCAATCCACCCCCTGACTAATCAAGCAATCCACCCCAAATATTAATCTGACTAATCAAGCAATCCACCCCAAATATTAATCTGACTAATCAAGCAATCCGCCCCAAATATTAATCTGACTAATCAAGCAATCCACCCCAAATATTAATCTGACTAATCAAGCAATCCACCCCAAATATTAATCTGACTAATCAAGCAATCCACCCCAAATTTTAATCTGACTAATCAAGCAATCCACCCCAAATTTTGATGTGACTTCCCATCACAAACCCACACCACTACTTTTTTTTTCATTTTTGTACATATAAATGTACTATTAAATATAGTCATTATATAATGTAAAAATCTAATAGCAAATAAATTAATATCTTAATTATAATTTTATAAAATTTAATAAAAATTATGATTAATTGTAATTTTTTGTTACAATTTTTGATAAACTAACATTTTATATTGCAAGTTTGTAGGGGAAAAATTCTTGATAACCTTTTCTTCAGAGCATCAAAACTTTGTATGTTGTTTAAAGATCTTTTGATTGCCAGTTTGAAATAGAAGAAATTTTTGTCAGAAAGTTCATTTTTGGTTTCAAAACCTTCAAAGTGAGGTTTTCGTTTAGGTTCCAAAAACAGATTCAAGAAAAACAGAGAGAGGAAAGAAAAAAAAAAGAAAGAAATGTACAATCAAATTGAAAAGTTCAATGGAAACCGTTGCAAACAAATTGGATTCCTGTCAATAGTTAGGACTTTCAGTACGTGGTCATAATGCTTACGTAAGTATGTATTTACGTCACACTGAAGTGTCAAATTGTTGCGTGTATTGTACATTTCACGCCAGTATAAATTAAGGCGGAGGAATTCGGGTAGATATCGAGTTTAGTTTGTGTAAGAATGTTTAATTGCTTACCTGTTGCTCGTCAGTATAACGTAATTTATGTCTAATTTATTGGTAGTAATATTGTAAGTTTTTAGTTATTTTTATCTTGATTGATGTAAGCATATTTGAATTGTATTTCTCAGAAAAGTTGGGTTCGAAAGTTCTCCGGAAACATAACGAATTTAATCTATTTTTAGCGGTTCATCAGTGATTTTCTAGATACGTAATTCATATGTATTTGTTGACTGAATTTGTACAACATTTTGATCAATGTACATATAAATCATCAATATAATCGTTTGGATTTTAAGTACTTATTCTCACTAAGTCAAAGATTTTGGAATCATCTTGTGTCCAGTTTCCAATAGTATGTTTTGTTTATTTATGATAAAAATTTGAAATTTCTTATATTGCATTCAGGAATGGAAATTAAAAAAATGAAAAATAAATCCAATTAGGAATGTAAAACCGAACAAGTCTTTAACAAATATTCACGTATATACATTGTATCTCATTCTCTAATACTTTTGAGGAAAGACGGAAACGGTGCAAGGGGTCATTCTAAAGATCAGAGAGTGAGACTATTTTACATCAAAAGACATCATTGAAAAATGGAACATGCAAATATAACTGATGGGTAAACATTAAGTACTGCTCTTTACATGCTTTAGGTATCAAGAGATGGTGTGATATAGTGTACATCCCCACCAAAGCTGAGTATTTGAGTATTTCCATCTCCTCTCATTACTAGCAGTGATTAAATCATGGTCACAGAATTTCAGTGAAGATATTTTGCTTTTTTATTGATTTTAATCATTCTTAATTTTTTTGTTCTTGTCAGCACGATTCCCCTGTGAAGAAATAAAAATCTGTAGTTTATTGCCGAGATGGTTATTAGCTAAGCCTATCCCTTTCTTTGTTTTGTATCTATGCTACGTCACTACAGTGCATACTAATGTTAGATGATAATTTAGTAATGCAGAAAATTGCTGAATGCTTTAAATAGTTATTGTAATGTTACCGGTGTTAAATGATGGAAACAGAGTCAGGTGTGACCGTCACAAGCATTGGTCAATGCTGTAGCCTATCTTTTATCAGTAGAAGTTTGATATTATTAATCACACGATGGCAAAACCAGCTGCAAAATTCAACTGCAACAGCCAGACTGATTCCGGTGCACATGAATGGAAATAATGATTATTAGAGTTATATCTTTTACAATTTGTTTGTATGAAATATAAAGATAACGATGTAATCTAGCTCAAAAGGTTGAAACAATGTAAAAAGGGAGCAGAGTAAACACGGACCTCTAAAACACTGGGAGTTGGGATCAGATAACAACATCCGCCGATTGTTCCTTGTCATGATCGGATAAACCAAACATTCTTAGAAAATTCAGTGTGTACTAGTAAATAATGACCTTACGACTAGT